CTAAATAAGAATATAAACAACAACACTATAGTTAATCAACTGGCGAATTGACGCTGTTCGTTAACTCTGTTGGTCATCAACCTAAATAGAATATATATTGATAGCAAATGAATATGGTCTGCGTTTAAACGGGACTCAAGTGAGATCTCAATAAAAAGTAACAATTGTAATATACTTTGCTAATTATTGCATCACATTTAAAGTATGAAAAATAAATAGAGTTTAAATATGAATTTGTATGTTTTATTTATCAATTTGCACCAAACTTTGCATCGAATTCTGGTTTACCTTAATTAACATTATCACAACGTGGGTATATAAATTATCAATTAATTAACTAGACGATCACTTCTACTACTAGAGGAAAAAGGCCAAATACAGTAAGTAAAGAATTTAAAGTAAAGTAAAACTTGTGAGGTAAATAACTAATAACAATTTAATAGAGTAAAACCAAGAACAAATCAAAAAGAAGAGGGGGCCTGGGGGCGGGCCGTCACATGTCCAGTGAAATGCTGTATTTATCCACCAAAACGTCACTACTGTCCAGCAATGGTAATACTTAATTTACTGAAATGTAACAAATTTAAATGTTATTTATCTTTAGTGAACTACATGAGCACTTCTATACTGCTGTCCTAGCAAGAAAGGTTTTATCTGCAAAATTAGCAGTTTTTTATATTTATATGCATTGGTCTACATTTTATCTTTCTTGATACTGAAACAAAATGTCTTATTTACATCAAAGGTACTAAAATGTTAAAAAGTTACACAAAAAAGGTTTAAAAGATAATAAATATATCTGTTAAAAATAGTTAAAAACTCGATTATTTTAAAACAACAAATTTTCACATAGGACCTCTCTTGCTAGGATGGCAGTATATGACTTCTCTGTTTTTGATTTTTTATAGTTGGGAGTAGGGTTAAATACGTAAGTATAAATAGAAGTTTTGCATGGTTTTGATTCTTCTCAACAACTTCTCAGGAACGTTGCATTTACGTTGTATAGTAATGTTATTACGTTTCCTTACAACTCACCCTACTTTTGTAGTTTAATAATTTTATTTTTAGATACCTACCACTTTTATTATTGTTATTTACTATTAAGAATATTGTCCTGTAAATGGGAAACTGTTGGGTAATAAAACTATTATTATTATTATCCATGGGAAATTTAAGTACCTGCCGTTTTAAAAATATATCAAGAAAAGTCTATAAAAATATTACAAAAAAGACTGTTTCATGTTTAGTGGTTTACTATTGATACCCGAAAAATATTTTAGTTTTTCACTTTTACAATAGCACTATCGCATAACACGTGTTCATAACCCTCGTACCCCAGTATAAGTATTCTATACCTATACCTATACTGGGCTCGCACAATATGCTAATGTGGCTACGAAGGACCACAAAATCAAAATAGTTCACGAAGATATTTACTCAAACAACTAGGCAACGTTCAACGGAATTGAAAGTGTTTTACGTCAACCTCGCTACCTCTCTCGGTTTTCGGTTCTCCGCTTTCAGTTCCTATGAAAACACAAAGGTGTACCGTCTATGTTCATTATCGTCGACTCAACAATAAGTTTTAATAACAATACGTTAACTGTTTATGTGTCACAGCTGACTTACCAAATACCTGTTTTGCCATGGTGATGGTCCAGATGCAATTATTAAGAACAAACATGAAGTCGAAAGTACCGTATAGGTACTTAGTGTGAGATCATTTTACCGAGGAATATGATCTAATGGTTTTCTTAGTTTTTAGTCTGTAGTGAAACTCGTGATAATAGTATCAAAGGTAAGTGTAGCGTTTATCAGGTAAAATAGTTTTTTATTTTGTGTTACATATAGTGAAGGTGAAAAATGTGCGGCTTTGGAAAGTAAACTATAGACATAAAAAGTCCTCATTTCTAACTTTTTCTATATTACAGGATGTCCCACTTAAAATGAACTACTTACATTAATATTTTTGAAACGGAAGTCGATAAAATCGGACAACAGGATGTTACCATAACGCAGGGTATGATCGTATGATATACACGGTGTCCTGAAATTAGACGGTCATATTTTAACAGGGTAATCTACATCCTAAAATAGGAGTAAAAGTTCATGTAAACATAGGTCCGAAAACGTTTCGTTTTCGAGATACAGGGTGTCACAAGTGAAGTCCTGATGGCACATTTTTGTAAATATTTTCTAAAATTTCTTTAGCTACCGGTTTTCCAAAGTAAAAAAAATAAAATTTCTGATTCTACTAATTATTGTTTACAATTTTAAAATTTTCAAATGCTTTTCTCTTGAAAATGGTGCGTCCTAGCGAGAAGCAACGAAAGTAGCTTTATTATAAAGAAAACATTGGTTTTCCAAATTTTATAGTCAAAAATTTTAAAAACTGTAAACAAAAAAACTTAGGGCAATTTTACCTCCCTAATTTACCCACCTATGAAGATGATCAAAAACTGGGGTTTAGTCCATTAAATAGAGCGTAAAAACGTAAACATTTGTACTAAATTTCACTTAGTTATCTTTAAAAGTTTAGAAAATATTTACAAAAGTGTGTCATCAGGACTTCACTTTTAACACCCTGTATTTCGGAAAAGAAACGTTTTCGGACTTATGTTTATATAAACTTTTACTCCTATTTTAGGATGTAGATTACGCTGTTAAAATATGATCGTCCAATTTCAGGACACCCTGTATAGTGAGTTCCTAAAGTAACTAATAAATAGTTCGATATTTATTTTTTCATCAAATTTTTTTGACGTAACAACTTTACTCTTTAACCCACAAATTTTTAAATGAAAAGAAGGGACAGTCAGTGGCGTCGTAATTATTGTAGGAGGCATTCAAAAAACTGCATGCATTTACCACTAAGATTTGCAAATAAAATAATTAATTTAACAATATTCCACTTTATTATTTTAATCTTGGTAGGATACAAAAGAGAAAATAGTCGCAATCAAATATATCGGTTCCTAGATATAATACCATAAATATTTTCTAGTGTGAGATAGGAAAATTTAACACTTTTAATAAATGTTAAAGAGAACGACTTCCAAGATCAAATAGCCCAGCAAACACACTTACGTACATAAGACGTACTATGTACGTCTTACGTACATAAGACGTACTATGTACGTACTGATGGGACGTAAAGTACGTACCATGTACGTACTTTACTGTACGAAGTACGTACATAGTACGTACATAATACGTACATTTTCCAAACGACGGTACGTACCTAGTACGTACTTAAAGTACGTACTCTGTACGTACCTAATGTACGTACTCTGTACGTACCTAATGTACGTACTCTGTATGTACATAATGTACCTACTCTGTACGTACCTCATGTACGTACTGTGTACGTACTTAATGTACGTACTATGTTTGTACTTAATCCAATAGAGTATATATTTTAGACGTACTTTACATCCTTATTGGTACTTACTTATGATGTATAATGTACGTATTAGTGCAATAAAAAGAAAAGTAAACAAGTTAATTTGTATTTATTTAATTTTTTACATTAAAAGAATAATTTAAATTGTTTTGCTATCTTTTTGAAAGTTTTTAGGCTATCATCAGCTCTTCTTAGCCATCTCACAATTTCCTGTTCTACAAACTTCTTCACTTTGCATTTGTTACTTTTTATAGCACCTTCTGCAAAGAAATAATTTCAAATTAGAAACTTAACTTTGGTACTTTTTATAATAAACAATATAATAAAAACAATACAACAAAAAGATGTAGAGTAAAGTAAGCGATAGTTTCTACAGCTCAAAATTATCATTGTCAATATACTCCTGGATCTAAACCTCTCTCATTTGTATCCACCTGTTTTGGCCTTATGCCTTTGAAATCCAATTCGTTCCTGCCACTGTTCTATAATATCGGAACTCCTATATTTCTTTTTGTTAAGCTTGATCTCCATCAGTTTTGAAGTCCAATGGTTGGAAGTACACAATTTCATTAGAAACAAAAATAATTGTGACTAGATAGATGGGTTTTAATGCAACGACTTTATGAAAACTGGCATGCAAAAATAAAAAATTAAAACATCTTACCCACTTCAACTGCAGCCAATTATAATTTGTTGCCAGCTTATTAGTTATTAAGGCACCAGCAATAGTCCAATAGTCCCAAAATTAAATTATTAGAGTCTGTAAAATATCACTTCTTTTGTCTAAAATATTAGATACCTCCTGTTTATTCATTTCCTTAAACTTTTTTAATTGTTTTGTAGCATTTTTGTAATAATTTCATATTACCTATATACAAATTTGTCCACCAGCCTGGTAATTAATTTTGGTCGTATAATAATTATTCAACTTTCTATTTTTACGAGCTTAATTAATCATGTACAAACTTTGACAATAGTGAAAGTTTCAGATCTGTCTTGTTGTAGAAAGATTATTATTTATGATTGTTTGTGATGAAAAATTGCCAATTAAACAAAAATAATTCTTTAAAGATGTTGAAAAAAATGTTCACCATGTTTAATTCTATTATTATTATTACATGGTTATAGTCATTAATATTACAAATATTTACTCAGGATTTCTATATTGTTAAAATCAATTTGATAATAATAAATTACAAGTATTAGAAATGAAAAATTAAAAAAACCGACTTCAAAAACGTGCAGATGCCATCACCACATCTTAACCAAATTTATATGGGACCACCCCTGAGATACCCCCTTACTAACAAAAAATGAATCATATAAATCAGACAAGGTGGTAAAGCATTATCGCTAAACATGAAGAGTTTGAGGATTTTCTCATGGGCCCAATTATTAGATTTTGACCAAATTTATATGGGACCACCCCTAAAGTACCCCCTGTCTAACAAAAAAAGAATCATTGAAGGACACCGTGTTAAAAAATTATCGCTGAACATACATAAAAAAAAATGTGCGATGAATTGTGAACCTCCTCGTTTTTTGAAGTCGGTTAAAAATTAGACAACTTTTTTTTTGTTTCAGGCTGTTTTGAAAAATGGACCCCGGTATAATTTGTTTCCAGCACTGCGGTCCGAAAGTGTTTTGTTTTTCTCTACCTGAAGCCTGTCCAGCTTGCCAATATGATTTAGATGCAGCCAATTTCTCACTCTTGCCATTTAGGTACAAATTATTTACTTTTTTATTTATTGAACGATAATTTTAAATTCTTTTTTCTATTTCCAGAGTTCCATATCCTTTTATAAAAGCCTCCCAGTACCCATGCGCAGTTGTAATTAAGCCAACTACCGGTGATTTTTTAAAGTAAGTTACACATGACAGAACATTATATAAAGAACTATAGTAGGATAATCGCTATGTAAAAGATATTGGAGGCAATCGCGCCTGAAATCTATTGGTACAATAATTTAACTATCGGTTTTATTTTCCGGTCATATACGCCCTCTACGTCAGATGTTGGAACTCTAGAGCGAGAATTCTGTCAAATTAATTGTCAATGTATATATTTGTAGTTATTGAGATTAAATATAATTGTTTCGATGGGTAATGGACTGTATTTTATAGGTTTATCGTTTTAAATATATTTTATAAAAATTTATTAATTTTACAAATGTAGAAAATTTAGGTATTTTTTGGCAAGTTGCGTATCAAGTTGATATTAAATTTTGAATTTTTTTGTCATACCTATATATTTTTTTATATCACGATAGCGTGACCTAGTTTTAATATATAAATTTAGAAATAAATCGAGATTTTAATGAAACAAGATATGTCAATATTGTGTGAGACAACATAATCTTCTTCGTCTTCTAATCTTAGAATGTGACTTATTTTAGGAACCAGGATACATGTTAACAGTTCTATATGTATTATTTCTATATATATGGTGTACCTACACCGTGTGGCTCGTATAATTTTTTTTCAATCTTGTATACATATTTTTTTTTTAGTGACTACCACAATTCCAAAGATTTACACATAGGAGTAACGACATCCGACGGCAAAATCGTAGAATTCGACAGACACGGCCTCAGAAACCACAAAACCACCCAATGGAACCAGTGTCTGCTCTTAGAACAGGTACCAGGACCTTGGCGGGATCACTGGGACAACGTCCTGAAACTAGTGTCCGCTCAAAAATGTTGGTCGTCCGATATATACCGAGAAGATACGCATAATTGTTTTTCTTTCGTACTGACGTTTCTGGTGACCTTGGGGTACGGGAATTTGAGTCTTGCCGCCAAAAGTAAAACGAATTTTTGCGAAAAATTCATTATTCCTAGGACTAGTTCTGCGGGGAAGTATATATCGCTATATAGGAGGTTGAAAAATGGAATTTACGTACATAGAGTTCAAAAAAGTTGAATAAAATTATTATACTGTATGTTTAGTTAAAATTTAATCATATAGAAAACTTTATTATTTATTTAAAAGAAGCCCATTCTTTGCATGGTTTAAAACCTAAAACAAATGAAATATAGATAAGTAATGGGCGCCGGTTAACCTAGGCTTTATTTGAATCCAGTATATACGAATGTTTAACAGTTGTGATCTACATGGGCGTATCAAATAATTTTTTCATCAGAATCCAAAAGATTGCTGTGTAAATATTTTATCAAGAGCAAATTTAAAGAATAATGCTCAGTCATTAAATTTTAATTCACAAATAATTAAATCTGCTATTTTTTATTCAGCTGTAATAAATGTCGATTCCCAAAACCCCTCGTGGCTACGCTTCTGATTCAATCTGCTTTTATTAACTCAACAATTCTCATTAATTGTGATTTATAGAATCTAATGTAGGTATATACCTACTTTGTCTCTTAAAACAAATTAAAATGTTTATTAAATTACTTCTGGACCAAATGACATTCCCTTGTTCATTATAAAAGACTGTGCTATTATTTTCGCCCAACCTATTACCAGTTCTATACGAGGTTTGTTAAAAAATTATGGAATTTGTGCAAGAGTAAATACCTTTATTTTAGACATCGACAATTGTTGATTCTATTTATAATATTTCTAAAACAGCCTTGAGAATTTTTTTTTGAAGTTTAATGTGTTTTTTTCTCAAAATAAATTAATAATAATAATAATAATAATAAAAGTTTTCTACATAATTAAAATTTAATTAGACATACTGTATATATACGGAGTGTTCAGTTACAGTTTGTTCCTCGTTTTTGTATAATGTGTCCGATACAAGAAGGCAGTGTGTGGGAATTACGATGTTTTGTTATATCCCCACGCCCAGTTCTGGTATATGGGACTGATTTTGTATTTAATCCAGTGAAAATGGGTCCAAAATAGTATACCGGGTGACAATGGTCCCAGTGCCACAATATCTCTTTTATTATGAAGCGATTTGGATCAAATTTGGGACAAACCTATGCAATATTAGTCGTTACCTTTTCGATAAATGTTAATTTCAAAACACTTATAAAGAGAGTTTTACTAGCTCAGTGAAATTTAATATCAAACATTACTTACCTTAAAAATTAAAAGAAATAAATGAGCACATTGACCATATATTTCTCAGTCGTGAATTCGGCTTTTCTAATAGACACCTTTGGGGTAATAATTTTTCTAGGAAATGTTGGGCACCAATAATTCTCTTTTTTTATTTTTAAAAGCTAGTGAGAATTATAAACTCTAGCTTTATCAAAAAAAAAAGAAGTTAATAAAAACTTATACAGAATTTAATTTGAGTAAAAGAGAATTGTTGTAACCTTTAAAAAATAAGATTCAAAATATATACTTATAAAAATTAACGATTTTATTTAGATAAAAAGAAACCGTTCAGGAACAAATCATATACAGTTTATCAGGTATCAATTTTGTTTCCGTCATAAATAAATTTAGTCACTAGTAATTACCACTTTTGCCTTTTGGCTGGCAACTTCTTTTGGAGGTAGTTGAAATTTCTGCACATCTGGAACCCAAGCCTTTGTCGGTTACTCGAACATGAACAGCATGCCTTTTTTATCTTTGTTCTCGTTCTTCCTTGTAACTGTCGCTTTTACCAGTTAAATCAGCTCGATCAATTTTACAGCGTTTAGTTTACAGCGTTTAGGTTACTGCGTGTAGGTTATAGCGTGTGGGTTACAGCGTGTGAGTTACAGCGTGTGAGTTCCAGCGTTTGGGTTACAGCTGCATTCATTCGTTTTCTAAACAAAAATAGATTTTGTTTTTCACGTGGCTCTTGTACGAGATATAAATTAAATTTGAAACATCTACTTTTTTGAAAAATGAACCAATATACAACAAAAACTAGTGACTATAAACATTGTGCCGTTCTAGCAACCAGAATGAATCATAAAAACATATTTAACTTTACTATAAAAAAAACTAATAACTAACAAAAGGTTTGAATAGTATTTCTACCGAGATATTTTATAACGACATTATACTTTTTATGCTTACCAGTTTTACAGCCAAAACACCACCAGATATAAAGAGAAAGTAGTAATAAATGAAATTTAAAAATCTAATGCGTGATCGTTTGGTTAGCTTTACTTCCACTTCAAGAAATTTCCCTTTCTTTGGAATATTGTGTGGGGCGATAATTGAATTATAAAAGATGGCACATATTTAAAATAACATTTTTTAATTAGACTATTAAAATGTTACACCTACTAGACATAATGTCTAATTGACAGTTATACTTAAACAAAATGGCCGACTTCCGATTTTGATTTTGATTTTTTAATTGTGTGATATTCTCGAAGTTAGTTAATAGTAATACTAATAGTACAAAATATTGTTGATATAATTATAACTGAACATAAATATAATTTGTCTAAAAAGCAAACAAGTATGAATTACTTAACCTACTTATATAGAATATAAATACAGGGTGATATTTGCGTATTACAATTGGATCACCCTGTATATTTAAACTTGATGGCATTTTCGTTAAAACTGGAAGTTGTTTAACTATGTGTCAATTTAAAATTATATCTAGTAGTGCTGTCCGAAATTTTAACGAAATCGCTTTATAATAGCGTGATGCACATTGTCACCCGGTATACACTTACAAATTATTTAAGTACCTAAAAAATGTTACTATTTTGCAGTATTATATTATTTTAATAAACCGATAAGTTCTTACCAAACAAACTTATGTCTCGCTAACCATGTTAGCATCCTCATAAGAATATTTAAATTGATCATTAATTATTCATTTACTTTATATAGGGGTGTAAATTATAGATTGGTGAAACATTGGATTTCTATCTTATACCCTGTATGTACAAACTATATTTATTTAAGACCAATAAAAAATACTGTTAAATATAAAATAAAATAAAACATTAATTGTAAAATGTAAAATCTATTAAACTATATTTATTGTGTAAATTATTTTGTTAGAACGTTATACATATTTATATATTGTAAAGCTAGAATTTGGCTTATATATTTTTTTAAATAAAAAGTTGATAACTATATAATTTTTAGTTTTATTTTTGTTATAGTCTAGAGAAGAAAAAGTGCAGTAATTTAATTTGTAAAACGTAGTACAGGTTCAAGAGGTAGACATTTTATCCATACAATTTTTATGACGTATATTTAACTACAGTTTTCATTTAATGCTAGTTATAGTTATTTCTACTATGTAGATTTCAGTTATTTACCCAGTGTTACTTTATACACTTAGTTAACTGTAGAGATTTTTCTCCCAGAGAGGAAATCATGGTCGTGAGTTGTTATCGCAAAGGTCTTCACCGACAAACTCTTTAAATGCACTCCACTGGATATCAAAAATGTATTCTGCCTATTTTTTAATATCCTGACAAACATGTCAAACAAACCATCTCCTGGACATTTTTTATAGCCCAGGACTTTTTTTTTTAAATTAGGACAACACAGTTTTGGGTTACCCTGTATAGAAAATGAAAGATATCAAACACATGATGAGTTGCAACAAAACTAGACTCCTCCTTCAATTGTTGATTCTTAATAATAGAGGGTGAACATAAAACATATAACATAAAACATAAAAAAAATTAAAAATATAAAAATATAAAAAATATAAAAAATATAAAAAATATGAAAAATATAAAAAATATAAATAATATAAAAAATATAAAAAATATAAAAAATATAAAAAATATAAAAAATATAAAAAATATAAAAAATATAAAAAATATAAAAAATATAAAAAATATAAAAAATATAAAAAATATAAAAAATATAAAAAATATAAAAAATATAAAAAATATAAAAAATATAAAAAATATAAAAAATATAAAAAATATAAAAAATATAAAAAATATAAAAAATATAAAAAATATAAAAAATATAAAAAATATAAAAAATATAAAAAATATAAAAAATATAAAATATATAAAAAATATAAAAAATATAAAAAATATAAAAAATATAAAAAATATAAAAAATATAAAAAATATAAAAAATATAAAAAATATAAAAAATATAAAAAATATAAAAAATATAAAAAATATAAAAAATATAAAAAATATAAAAAATATAAAAAATATAAAAATATAAAAAATATAAAAAATATGAAAAATATAAAAAATATAAAAAATATAAAAAATATAAAAAATATAAAAAATATAAAAAATATAAAAAATATAAAAAATATAAAAAATATAAAAAATATAAAAAATATAAAAAATATAATAAACAAAAAATATAAAAATTATAAAAAATATAAAAAACGAAAAAAAATATAAAAAATAGTTAAATAGTTAAAAATAAGACGATAAGTGGTACCTATGTATCTTATACATTCTCCATTTAGTTTTCGAAGAAATGGTTTAGCCTTCATCGGGATTTTCCATAATGAACTGTCTTAAATTCTTTTTGGATAGGAACTTACTGAGTAGTGTTGTAATTTCATGAGGAATCATGTTGTAAAGTTTAGGTGCTAGGTAAGTATATGTTGATTGTGTAATTCTTTTCAACATTAAAGGTGTAACAAAATGATGCCTTTGTCGAGTATTGTAGGTATGTGACGGAAGTTGGGCACTATATTTATTGGTATGTTGTTTATAACAAGAAGCAAAAATAAAAAGTTGTCTTAAATTCAAAATTTTTGTTTCAACATGAAGCAATTGTGTTGGATACCTAGTGTTTTTTTTTAAATTAATTTTAAAAATCTACGCTGAATTACTTCAAGCGGATGTATATGCGTTTTTAAAGCTCCTCCCCAAGCTGTAGTCGCATACCGAAGATGGCTTTCAACAAGTGAGAAATATAATGTTTTTAGGTGTTTCAGAGGTAACAATGATTTTATAAACCTAAATCTATATAAAATCGTTCTCAGATGAGAATCAATAATAATTCCTAGATATTTAATTTGTGTTTTAGGTAAAATGGTAAATATTTCGGTGTTAATA